CATTCAAATAAGCAGGATATGTACTTAAAAAACAAAGCCTTAGAATCTCCGCAGAAGAAAATCCTTGACCATATGTTAAGCTATCAGGAGCATTGTCAACGAGCTACATTAGTCTTCCTCAAATTTGTTGTAAAAAATTGGGCTATTTAACCTTGCTTTCAGGACATTGAAATGAAAATCATCATCAAATAAGGGTTTTTCGCGAATCAAAGGGTCTGAATTTGCGCGGTCAAAAAGCCATCGGCAGTGCCATGTATTATCTCATCTGCTTTTGATGACCACCTTGAAAAAAAGGCGTATCGTTTGACCGTCCACGAATTTTTCGGTAATTCGACAACACATTTTCAACAATAAATCATATAAAACGTCCCTTCTTTCGTTTTCTAAGGAGGGAGCAACGTAATTTCAAAAAAGTCTGCATTAAGAGCGGGTTAGGGCTGAACTACATCTCCATTTTCTGTTCTTAACTGCATTTATGTCGTTTATCTTAGATACTGAAGACTAAACCAGCAGTACTTCACTAGAATATTGTTTAATTTGTCAAACTTTGGAAAAGAATTACTTCTGCTCTAACCGCGAAACAATGATCTTGAGCAGTATTGCTCCTACAATCGCGTGATTCATGCACTTTTGTTTGGCGAAACTGATGACTACAAAACGTCTGAAGATCTAGTCCCAGTATAATTGTCCGCGCCTGGAGCATTACATAAGCCAACTTATATCCACCTTGAACTCGCCCATCATGCATCCATTCTGGAACTACTCCAAATTAGCTTGAATCGCCCGCAGAGCTCTGATGTGAAATCAAAATATCGCTCGTAATGAGATGAGACCGCGCCCAAAGTTTCACGAGTTAGCGGTCTACAACTTCTTTTGTTAGGAAAGTTTCGAGCAACAGATTGAGCATAGCAGATGCAAGATTAAGGTGGTTATCATAAGTCTCGTCTGACCATCTGGCCAGAAGCTTTAACGCTTTGTTAATCTCTCTTAATCCTTTTACAAGTGAGAGATACTCAGGCGAATTGGCGATGTAAGAAGAAGTATGTATTGCTAGATACAGTCCCAAACACTAATACCGAATTAGGTTCTATCCGCAGAAAGTTTTTCTACAAGTTGTGAAGTTTTCCTCTGCCAAAATTAGCAGAGCGGGTCAATAATTTCTCTATATCATCTTCATCGTAATAAAAATGTTATCATCTCAAAATTCAGCTTTTGCATTGC